ATTAACCACAAGTAGCTTTTTGTAGGTGATATCAACGACATAATCAACGAACACCAATATCACGTGACTTTAAAATGGTATTTGTCGGACTATAGTTTATTGGTGATAAAACATTGAACAAAGTTCATGCACGTCACATTTTGACAGCTGTCAGAATCTGTCAATAGCTTTAAGTCAAAAAATAATCAAATCTAGTTCTTTTCCAATTTAAGTTGAGTTTTTTTATGATAACGCATGAAAAACCATTACACGCAGGTTTCAGATTTTGACAGAGATGTCAATTTTCATTTTAAAATACGTAGTTTTAGTATAAAGGATTTTATATACCGGCGATTTTTTTTGAATACTTCAATGAAATCATTATAATACTCAGTACTAAAATGAAATCATTAAAGTACTCAAACATTTTGGCACTTACAAATGAAATCTACAATGATGTCATTTTGACAGTTCTGTCATTTTTTTTTTTCCAATTTTTGAATTCAGAATTTACATACAAGTTAAAAATTAAAAATAAAATCTTAAAATATTGAAAACTGGGAAAGATGAATGCTGCCGTTTGGCAGGGTTTTGACACGTGTCAAAATGGTTGACATTTTTCGGCTTAACTTGGTCGACTTAGTAGAAATAGATTTTTTGTTCATCAAAATCTTCCATAGTAACTCTGCTTTTGGATATAAGATTACAATATTTGACAGCTAACCACGCCTCACCTGTCATATATACAGGGTTGTGCCCATGGTAAAAAATGTTGCTTACGGCATCCCCAATAACATATTTAAATTTCATCCAAATATCACGGGTAACCAATTTCCATTTAAATATTGCGGGGTCCTTTCTTTTGATATGAATTTTTTTTATTTACTCCATAGATTAAGAATAGATCATCGATTCCATTGAAATTATACCTTGTCCACTACCCTATTATCCTGCTTGTCCGAAATACTTCCTTCCTCAGGGGCTCGATTCTCGTTTCAGAGAGTAGAGCAGTAGAGCTCCCCGATAGAACGCATGTTTTGTCCTTATTGCCAACGTAATCGAAAAGTAAAAGAGAATGATAAAGACAAAAAATTTGTTCTCTCGGGGAGCTCTACTCCCTGAGACGAGAATCGAACTCCAAAGATGGGACTCTTTAACGAATAGAGATATTTTCTCTATCTCTATTGACGTGGCGTTTCTATTGTTTTCGGAAACAGGAGAAGAAGACAGCAAGTGCCTTAGCGATAGGGATAACGATCTTTATCCGGTACAGAGTGCCAGCTCAGGGTACCTATTCTTGAAACAAAGGACCAGCGTTCTCGTGAGAACGATTTCTCTGTCTTTCTCAATGACATACAAATGATGATATCATTATGAGTAACACAGACGGAAAAGGTATTCTCATGGGAATGTTGCTCCCCTGTTTAAAGAATAAGGGCCCAAGAGAAAAGGTGCTTCGGGAACAAAATTTCTCCTCCAAACAAAAGCGAATAAGTGGCCCGATGCGAAATTTTTTTTCGCACTGCAAAAAAAAAAAAATGGCGCGTAACATTCCAGTATGTTACAGGTGAATTCCTGACGCAAATAGGAAACTTTCAGATTTTTAAACTATTCTGTTAGTCACTCATCAAACAAATTTTCAAACTGCTGTGAAAATTCCGGATACGAAAGGGGCGGTACTTTCCCGAACATGCGAGGATGCCGAATTTCTCATTGGTAAACCATTCCAAAATATGGCTGATAAAAAACCTGGCTACCCAGTAACATGATCCTAAAATATTTCGTCATTTCTAATGTGGCAACATGCGCATGAATGCTTTAGTCAATGAGAGGCACGTAAAAACGGACTATTGTGCGCAGCTTCTTTTTTTTTTTTTGTTAACAGAGCCCCCCCAAACCAAAATTCTGGATACGCCAATGTGAACAAGGATATCTTTAAGGGTAAAAATGGCGAAACTGGTAAGACGAACATCATCAAGCACGAAATCTATACTGGCAGTGCTCATCCACCTAGAAGATTTTCCATGACCGAACAACAAGAAGTGAAGTCATTAGTAGACAGTCTGCTTACAGAGGAAGTTGTTGAAGAGTCTTCTAGTCCGTGGTCATCGCCAATTGTACTAATGAAAAAGGAATACGGATGTACCAGATTTTGCGTGTTCTCCATTGGAAGTTGTCTTTACCAACTCAAGGTAATACCTTTTTGACTCTGTAATGCTCCCGCTACTTTTGAGAGGTTGATGGAAATCGTACTACGAGGACTTATGTGGAAAGTGGAAAGTAGGTCTGCCTTAGTGATGGGGAAATCTTTCGATGTGCACCTACGAAACTTAAAAGAAGTATTTACTCGTATCCGTGAGGCTAACCTCCGATTAAAAGCCAAGATATGTTTACTCTTCCAACATCGCGTTAATTTTCTTGGCCACCTAGTTTCACCCACGGGAATTCATACTGAGAGACAACTCCAAGCAATTCGTGAGATTCTTTATCCCGAATGCGATTACGACTATAAATAGCGTAATAAGATCAAGTCAGTTTTAGTTCGATGTTTATCGGCGTTATGGTTTACAGGTTAGCGTTCCTGCCTCTTGCCATGCAGACCTGGGTTCAATCCCCGGGCCGGTCAACGTCGATGTTAATATTTGGAATTTGATATTAGCAAGAACACGATCTTTCATCAACAAAACTGTTGGTACCCAGGTAGGCCAACGTAAACTAAATTAATTTAAAAAAATATCGATATTTGTCGTCTGCGTTTCGAATTCTGATAAGTGAATTTATAATATTAGTATGTATTATGATATAAGTGCATAAGAGGGCCTTTAAAGCATGCGCAACATATTTCAAAACACGCATATCATACGCTTTTTTTTATTACGAATGCATCATAATCTCAAATAGTACATTAAAATACAAGTTTCATAAAATGTCTTATGAAACGTATATTTTATACTATTTTTTCTATTTTGGTATTGTTTCATTTAAAAAAAAAAAAAACTTTTCTTGGAAATTTTATTCTCATATTTCCTGATTTCATAGGTTTAGGTTGGCAACACTACATGCCAAATATAGAAATCTTCTATTTTTTTTATGGCCAATGACAGTTCGATGGCCATCAGTCAGCCAGTGTTACCAACCTCCGATAAGTAAAAAAGGAGTGTCACAAAGAGCTTCTTTTCGAAACTACTTTTAGTGTCGAAAAGACTTCGATATAACACCAAAATAGAAAAAATGTTTTAGATGTGTTCATTCATTTTGATAAATAGTAATTTAAACGGCAGGTGAATATCTAGGTAATAAAGGTAGATCAAAATTTTCTATAGCAAACCTTTGAAAAAGTAGACGCATCATAAGCATCATTTTATGCACGCTGCAGCGTGCGATAATCGTTTATTATGATGCATGCGTTCAATAATAGTTATTTATATTACTAGTACGGTATGAGCTTCATTACAGTAACGAGTGGGGAACATTGCCAAGACGAGGTTGTAGACCGAGTCGTGGTAATCACACGAGTGGTGTAATGAGCGTTACCGTACGTGTGATATACAACATTTTATGTACGACCCAGAATTTTCATATATTCGAAATGGTTTTAATTTTTCACAAAAGATTATATGTATAATTTTTGAGAAATGAATTTTAAAAAGTGGCGTTTTTCAATAAAAATGAGTTACTTAACGAGCTCTCATTACATCACTAAGCATGATAATGCAACCTATTACGTAACTCAAAGAGACTAAAATGAGTTACGTAATAAGCTCTTACAATGTAGGTCGTACATAAAAGTTATTACTGTTTGTGAAGTGAGTTTTAGTGAACCCGGAATTCGTGATATTGTGGTACCAGTCAGAGCTGGGATCGTTACTTGATAAAAGTAACGCGTTACTTTACAGTTACTTTTGCCTAAAAATAGCTCGTTACTTAAAATTTACAGTTACTTTCGAATAATGATAACTTTATTTTCGTTACTTATTGGAAAGTAACGCGTTACTGTAACTTCTTTGCTTTGAAAGTAACTTCTTTACTTGAGAAGTAGTTCGTTACTTAAAAGTAACTCGTTATTTGAAAGTAACCCGTTACCTCAACACGTTAGTTTGAAACAAAGCGCTACTTTTGAATTAAGCGTTTCCTTCAAAGTAACGCGTTACTTCAAAAATAACTATTTACGTCGAAAATTGCGTTATTCCTTAATTGGACTCACCAACACAGCAGTCCAAACAATCAAATAAGACCTATACGAAATGCCAATATGTTTTTAGTTTGTGAGTCCGCCTATGTGGAAAAGTTTTGTTGCAAAATTCAAACGGATTAAGGATTAAGCGACTAAATAGAGAACTTGGGTTTTGGACAAACCTGCTTTTTGAAACGTCCCAGTGTCTGCATATAGTGTCTTTAGAGCAGAGGCAGCTCGTGCCACGCCCAAAAACGATTATTTTGAGCTTTCAAAACAAATTTTCGGTACTACCCACATTTTATTTGACATACAAAGTTTATGGATTACTTATTTTCCTTTTCCTCAATCGTCAATTATTTGTAAAGAAGATAAACAAATTGAGAGAATGCGTTACTTTCATAGTAACTAGTAACGCGTTATTTTCATAGTAACGCGCTACTTTCATAGTAACTCGTTACTTTAACAAAATAACGATCTGCAGTTACTTCGGGAAAGTAACGTCGTTACAGTTACTTATCAATCAATCGAAGTTACCAAGTAACGGGTTACTTTTAGTAACTCGTTAAAGTAAAGTAACTATTTTTTGTCGTTACTGCCAGCTCTGGTACCAGTTGAGTATTTTTTTGAAAAAAAAAACATCCCAACCTTCGGAAAATTTTGTAGCATTGAGGAAACTTTTGGCTTGCTAATGGATATTTTGTCAGTAGTACAGAATTTCGTTCTTATGAAAAGAAAATAATAAAAACTCCCTAAACTGATAAACCATAATAGAATTCTTTTGAGAGAAAGAACTGTTTCTTCTTTGTTCCTTTGAAAAAAAAAAGTAAATAAAAAAAGTATTTTTTTACTCTTGATATTTTTATTTTTATATTTATTACAAAAGTATCTTATCTTCAATATATACATCAATTAAACCACATGAAGAGGCTAAAAAATTCAAAGCAAAAATATGTGAAATTAAAAATATACTAAGTTTATAGGAAAATTTATACATAATGATATAAAAGCTAGCTTAAATGATAAGTTTAAAAGGTTTGACAAACATTTTATAACTAACCTAAAATGATAATAAAACTGAAAAAAATATCCAAAGTATTTCCAAGAAACTTGGTATTCAGCATTTTAGTTTTTCTTTTTATAGTTTCTATTTACAGTTCTCGAAAAATATATGGATTCTATGACACATTAATTTGTTTTATTTATATTTAAAATATATATGGTATAAAAACAAAAAACTTACGTGTTAAGTATTAGTATTTCATAATTATTATATTAGCACTCTTGAATTATTCAATATTCCTACAAATTAAAGATTATAAGCTCGCAAATTGGGCCGTATTCAACTATTTACAAGTTTATATTCAAATTTGAACTGGCATTGTAAGATTTAGACTAAAACTTACGTTCAGTTTATTTCTGACAATTTAGTAAATGACGATACTGATATTTAAATTTTGATACAATTATTAGCTTTAATTAATACAATTTTATTCTTTATATTTAGAAGACGTTATTGGCACTTAATGGCTATGTTCCGATATCAACTGCCAGTACTGGATTTACTGTGCTGATTTTACTGTCATTTGCCGTTCCGATTTCAACAGCGTACTCTGGTCATTCAGTACTGAATCGACTGAATCCAGTGTACTGAAAATAATATCGGAACGGCGTCCAGTAAATTCAGTACTGACAATTGATATCGGAACATAGGCAATGATATCACGGAGATAAAAAAGTGTCAAATTTTAAATATCAAAAAATGATGACTTTATGACTAAATTACCTACTCGCAATATAGCCGGCGTTTGTCTAATTACTATTTATTATTATGGTATGGAATAACTGATTGATAATCTTACAAACATGCGAGAAGATCGATTTTCCATGTAAATTTATGGACAGCTGCTTCTTGATTTTTGAATATCAAAAAGAATTGATGTATTCTAAAAATTGAATCACTTATTGTCTATTATAAACGTAATATTTTTCGTCATTTTTGTCATAAACAGAATTTTCTTCCTCTCCTGACTCTTGATTTGGCGTAAAGTAAACGATTTGAGGAACATAATACCTGACGCCACCTGAATAAATTACTCCTATTTGGGGTACATAATTTTGTTGTTGATTCGTTTTAAATCGATGTTGAATATCTTGTTCGCTGTACTTAACGGACGGTTGAAGTGTAGTTTTCTTAACCTCATACAATTCGTAATCCTGTTTTCCGAAGGTATGAGGTCCTGTGTAATCTGGTCCAAGGTTTCTTGAATATTGTTTACGGTAAAGATTGTATTTTTGCAAACTGGGATTGTATTTCTGGTCCAATGGAGTACCCAAAATAAGGTTCGGGTTTGGTTTGACGGCGTACAGTTTCGTTCTATACTGTTGTGGGACTAGCGGTTGGTACCTGTTGGGATTTGGAATGTCTTCTTGAATTTCTCGTACTGGAGCTGGACTTCTGGTGACTATCTTTTTGGGCTGCAATAAGAAATATGTGTTACAGTAAGATGAAAGTAGAAAAAATAACTAATTATTATTCAAATTAAAAAGAAAACACAAAGTCTTCCTCCACAAAATAGTTTAATCAGCTTAAAACGCTACCTGTTGTGATGATCCAGAAATTTGACCCTATAATTACAAAGTCTTTACTGTAAAAATTAAATAAATAATCAAACAATCAAAAACTTAATTCCGGTATTTTTAAATCTGTGTCGATAAATTAAAAAATAAAAACCAACTAAGCAATCGTATAGCGACACCCGGAAGTCGTTCATCTAAATTAAATTCTTAAAAACTGATAAAACCGAGGTGGTGTCATCCTAAAATCCGATTCAATGAACTTTATTTAGCCAAGGCCTTTCCGTTTAACACACATTGAGTCGAATGAATTATGGATTCTTGAACCCAAAACGTCTTGACCTCAATAAATCAGATAATTGCGACATAATTAGTCGATTTTTGGGCTACAAAAATGATATAATATTCAAGGAAATTGCATCATTCTTTTAATAACAATGAGGCCGTCCAATGAAATTCGGATTCCTAAGTTAACGACCGCCTATATTGACGATTTGGGGGAAATTTAATAATAATTTTGTGGGGAGAGCGATTTGATATAAAACTCGCGGAAGATAGTTCCCAGTTATCTGAAGATAGTTCCCAGTTGATAGTTGCCAGTTAAGAGTCGAGTCGTCCATTTGAAGTAAAGTCTGTCCAGGTTCGCGAAAAGTTTCTTTTATGGCTTATGGCCTCGGGTATAAATTAACTTAGAAAATTTACGGAAAATCGAGAAAGTAATAACAGTTGAAATTTCGTTCAATCAATTATGTGCGTGAAGCTAAATATTTTGAGTAGTTAATTAAATAATTTTACGTGTGTTTTATGGACAAAATGTAAGTACTTTATAGTGACAAGATTTATTTTGATGAACATGACTTTGTGTGAAATTTTACTAGAAGTACTTTTGAATTTATAAACTTGAGGATTGCACTACTAGAAAAACTTTTGACTTTTAATTTAACAGTGGAACTTTATTACAACGAAATTAGTAGCTTGAGTGTTTTATAAATGGAACATTATTGCATAACTCAATTACCCTCAGACTTCAGATTTAATGACATTTAAATGTGCAACAAAAATATGAAGAGTACTTACAATGCATTTAACAATATTCAGTTTTGAGTTGGAATTATGACTTAAACAGTTGGATTTATTAGCTAGGCATAGGAATCCGAAAATAGAATTTGTTCTGATAAACTATTAACGGCAATAGGAAATTTTGAAAAGAAAATTGATGACATAAAATAGAATTGTTTTCTTGAAATATTGGAATGTTGTTAAAAAGGAAACTTATAATTGAAATTGTTCTGATAAACCATTAACTGCAATAGGAAATTTTGAAAAGAAATTTGATGACATAAATTAGAAATGTTTTCTTAAAATATTGGACACTTGTTAAAAGGAAACTTATACTAGAATTTGTTCATGAAATAGAATTGTCTTAGAATATGGGAAAGCCGTTAAAAGAATGTATTGTCCATGGAATGAATTTTGAATTAGGGAGTTTATTTTACAAGTAGGGGTTATTGTAAGACCTTATGAGAATAAATTAGTTGTTAAACAAATAGGTAATTATTTTGGGTTTTTATAAGTAATGGACTTAGAGATTTTAAGGAATTATTTGACTAGGTAAAGGGTAGTTATTAGGAATGATTTCGATGTAGTAAAATAAATAGAAATATTATTTTGAGAAATAGTATGAATAGGGCGTTTCGTATTAAGTAGGCATATTTCAGTGGTCCGTATAATAACAATATAGAACGGATGTGAAGTATTAATTTTACAGACTTAAAGAAGGATGTAAAGTATTGGGAGATATTTGGCTAATTGATTTTTGAGTTTTATGTGAAATAAAATATAATTTAGTACACCTCCTTAGTTTGTTTCTCTCTCTTGCAAGTAGACCCTCTTCCACAGATTTTAGATAGCAAGCTCCAAGTATATAAACACCATCAATATACCGCTCGCCATTTACCATCTAACTAAATTTATATAGTGTACTTGGGGGCGAATTGCTACATTGGTGTCAGGTGTGGGGTTGTCTATTATTTGTACATTGAGAGCAACTAAGAGGTTATTTTAATTGTATTGTGAAAGCATCGGTAGGGCTAAAAATAATTTTTGAATTGAGAGAAACTGTAAATTTTTTAGTTAAATTTGAGTTGAGATTAATCAAGCGACGTCAAAAATGTCCAACCCTTCGAGCCCCGTACCACAATTCAACACCACCATGCCTAACCTTTTTATAGGATTAGATTCCATACCTACCTATGATGGAACTACTAGTGCTGAAGAATTTTTAAATGTCCTAGAAGAAACCAGTATTTTAGCTGACTGGACAGACACACAGAAAATTTCAGTAGCTCGATTGAAACTGAGATATCGAGCCAAGCAGTACATAGAGTCAGAGCCAACCCTGAAGACCCCAACAAGCTGGGCTCTACTCAAGGACAGTTTAAAAACTCAATTTGGCAGGCATTATGTGAAAGGGACCGCTATGAAGCAGTTCATTGAATGCAAGCAACGAACAGGTGAAGCTTGTAGACAATACCTTACTAGATTGAAGGTATTGGGGCACCGGACCGCTACACTCACCGGAAATCCAGCAACAGATAAATTGCTGGAAGAGAAATTGCTCGGGGACATTGCTACTCAATTTACCCTAGGATTGTTGATGCCGATTAAACAACGTGTACTCTCAGGAAATCCAGCAACCTTGGACGAAGCATTAGAAATAGCTGAGAGGGAAGAATCGATCGAAAATTTTCTGAAGCCACACAGTCGCGAATGCCGCGGAATTATGAATAAAAAGAAGACAGCAGGCCCAAGCCGTCAGAACCGTTGGAACCGAGAAACGCCACAAGCTAGAAAAATGGTGTGCTACAATTGCAACCAGGAAGGTCACGTAAGACCAAATTGTCCAAAACTAAAAGACGTGAACAGACAAGGTAACAGAGGTACGCTTGTTTGTTTCAGATGCCACAAGGAAGGGCATTTTGCTAAGAATTGCCGCTCGGAAGTCGGCGCTTTTTCCCAGCAATCGGGAAATAGGCAGAATTTAAACTCGCACGCAGCCCCCTATCAACCCCGAGACGTGGCTACCAACGAGGCAAGTTGGGATTAAATGAAGAGAAATGGGTAGGGATATATACATGCTCCAAAGTGAGAACCCCAGAAAGTTGTAATGTAGTAAGGATTAGGGTTAATGATAAGTCGTACCTAGCCTTAATAGATTCTGGAGCTGTAGTATCCCTAGTTAAGCCCGAGATTGCCAAGGGGTTCAAGAAAGAAAAATGTGATGTAAATTTGGTGGATATACAGGACAATAAAATTCCTGTAAGAGGTATGGCAAACATACCTGTGATGTTCGAAGGAGACATCGTTGTGAGACACAATTTTATTGTGGTGAATACAGATTCATTAAGGGCAGATTTACTATTGGGAATAGATTTTCTGCGCCAATATGGTATTAAAGTAGATTGGCAGAACAACTGTATGTACGCTTTTGAGAAGCAAATCCAAATGTATGAAGAAAATATCGATGCTGAGTATGCGATACAGAAAGGAGAAAAAGAGTTGATGAACAAAGTTAGAAACTTGGAAATGGAGCTTGATGAGCTGAAAAATTATGTGAAAAATTTGGAGAGGAATGGAAATGGTGTTAAAGTAAGGAATTATTCAGAAGTTGGAACAGATACTGAAAAAGATAACACAATGATGAGTAGGACAGATTTTATGAAGAAGGATCTGACGTTAGTACCAATAACGGAGGATCGTAGTTTGGTAGCGGTTGGTACCCGCTCGATAACTACAACCAATCAACAACGTGGTAATTCAAAAGGGAGAAGTCTGACATCATCAAGGAACCCGGCCAGTTCCAGAGAAATCCATATATCCATTCCACTTCGACAGGAGGAAGTTATTAGGGGTCCAGTGAAGGACGAGATTTTGTTGTTTCCATTAGAGAAAAACTTTAATGAAGGTCCAGTGAAGGACGAGATTTTGTTGTTTCCAGTAGAGAAAAACTCTAATGAAGGTCCAGTGAAGGATGTGAGATTCAGAAACCAAGATGGTTTTCTGGTGACTCTGAGAGAGGAGGTGATGATACCACCGATGAGTCAAGTAGTGTGTCAAGCAACTCTACGCAGAGCTTCAAGGGTTAAGGCTCAGCACATAGTTATCGAACAATGTGAGGAAGCCCTGTCAGGATTGCTAGTGGCACGTGTTTTGTGTAAGAAGGACAGTGTAGTCCCAGTAAGGTTATTGAATATAACAGAGAAAGAATTAACTCTAAGAAGTAGATCTGTAATCGCAAGAGCATACGAAGCGGAAATTGAGCAAGCCAAGAAGAAGGAAGAAACTCTGCAAATAAGGAGTATTGACCAGAAGGGAGTCAAGGAAATTTTGGAGAAGTTAAATTTAGACAATCCCAAATCGAGTGATGAACAAAGATTCAAGCAGCTTGTTCTTGAGTTTATTGACGTGTTTAAAGCACCAGAAGACAAACTAAGTTGTACAACAGAGTTCGTACATAGAATTATTACGGAGGATGTGCAGCCAATCATAAAGAGACCATATAGAGTACCATATCATCGACAAGAGGTTATGAAGCAAGAAATCCAGAAATTACTTGAAGACGGAGTAATCGTAGAAAGTGAGTCACCATGGAGTTTTCCTGCAATCCTTATAGAAAAGAAGAGACACCCTGGAGAAGACATCCAGTATAGGCTTGTCATAGATTATCGGGAATTAAATACCATAACAAAAACTGATTATTTCCCATTACCCAATATACAAGAGACCATCGAAAAATTAGCGGGATCTCACCTATTTTCTACCATGGATTTGGCATCTGGTTATTTCCAAGTGCCCATACAACCAGAGGACCAGGAGAAAACAGCATTTTCTACTCCTGATAA